GCAGCCCATTTGCAGTCACTTAAATAGAAAAACATGGATTGGAGCCGATTTAGGCTTTAATCAGCCTTAAAGCAATTGAGAAGAGTCATAGAGTACAGCTGGCTTTCCCAGAACTCCAGCACTGGAATGCCCAGCCATCAATGGAAAGGGAAGGAAATGCTGACCTTGTGAGGCAAATCAATGGTTCCCTTGTTTCAGAGGTGCACTGATTTGGAAGGTGGGGCAGGAAGGACTACATAGGAGGCCATCACTTTCCCTGTGACTTCCCAGGCTAAAGTCAGAGAAATGTATAAAAAATGTGTAAGTGCACTTGCGGGAAAAGAAAAGGCAAGAGAAAGGTGGTGGAGGGGAAGGGCTTTTTGGAACCTGAGTAAATGGCTGAAGATGGTGTGCAATGAGCCCAAGGGCTGTTTAAGACACCCCCACTTGTACCCAGTTTGTTTTTAAAATCAAATTTTATTAGATGTGGGGACAAAAGGGATTTACATATAAAAGGAGGTGAAGAGGAAGAGGAGGTGAAGAAGGAGGAAGAAAAGAAAAAGATGAGAATGAAGAAGGCGAGGACGGGAGAAGGAAGAATATGATGAAGGAAAAAAGAAGGAGAGGTATAAAGAGAGATGAAAGCTAATGAAACTTCTCAGAAAGTACTCAAAAGCTAAAGATCTTATGGCTTCTAGTTCATATTTATTTATTATTTATTGGATTCATTCTTTCCTCCTCAAAAGGGGTACTTGAGGAAAGAGAAAGAAAGTGTGTGCATGTGTGTGTCAAAGATAGAGAATTACTTACAACTGTCCATTTTCCCAAGACTTTCCAAGAGCAGGTGAGCAAATTCTCGCTATCAGCAAGAACCGGAAGTAGACGACCTGTTCTGTGGAAGCCAAGGAAATTTACCACATTATGGAGGTTTTTAATAAAGCTTCCCTCCTATGCCATCTTCAACTCCCTTAGGGGATAGCGGTGCCAACAGTGGAGATCATGGAGCAAGCAAGATACAGTCTATATTCAGGTTGCTGCTGTTACCTGCACATACCAGAGCTCCATTTTTGCAGCCAAAAATTCAAATTCAGCTTTTCACGAGATAAACTAGGCTTCGAATGGGTTAGGGCTGGGTTGTCTCAAGAAGAAGGAACATTTGGAGCGAGTGGTTGCCCCTGCATGATTAATTTAAGGTGACTGATTTCTCTCTTCAACCCCCGTTTCAAATAACTGTTCCATAATTGACCAGGACACTGTGACGCCCACCAGAAGTAAAATATACATGTTTATCTCTGTTAGAATTTTCACCGGGACATAACTCGTGCCTGCTGGTCTAACTTTTGGCTTTGCGGGCAACATCTCTCCTGTCTCCGTATGCAGCTTTTGAATATCAGATAGGAATGCTAACCAGCTCCGAGATCTCCTGAGTGAGAGAAAAGCGGTTTTAGAGATCAAGGGCACGTTTTTTCCGGAGCTTCCGGTTCAGCACCACACGCGCTTGGGACAGCTCCCAGATGACCTTATTGGACTGGCTCCCTCAATAAATGAAGAGGAACCTTTCGGGATGGGAGAGGAGCGGTCAACAATTTATTATTCATCAATGTTTAGTTGCTAGATATGATTTGCTTGCTTTAAAACTGGAGCACATCATTTGCGTTTGTCTGTACTTTGTCTTGAATTTCTACTTGCTTAGGTGACTACAAAGAAAGTGGGGTTGTGTGGGTGTGGGTGGCTATGCGTATGGGTGTGTGTGAGAGAAAGAAACAGAGAGAGAAGTGATGCATGTGTATGTGTGTGTGTATGTGCGTGGTGAGGGGGGGTGAGTATGCAGGGAAAATGCCATCTGTCCAAGAGGAGGAAACTGCATTAGTCTTTATAAAATGAGAAGTAGGTTTCCTCCCCCACTCCACAGCACATAAAAAGTGTACTTTATGTGTTCAGAAACAGACAAAGATGGTGGAAGAATTCAAATATATTTTAAGCAGGCCTCTGAAGGCTGATTGTCAAACTAAAGCTGCTTTAAAGTTATTTTAATGTCTTGGGTCATCTTTGGATTGAGAGTTTGTTCTGGGACTGAGAGCTTGTCTCAGTCCCCTCTCTTGGAAACATGACTGGCCAGAATGAAAGAATGAGATCTTGCCTATATATACATTTAGCGTTACTTCTTTGAAGTAAACTAGTGCTGAGGGAATCAAGTCAACATCTATTATGTATTAATTGTCTTCTTAGGATGCTGCTTCAATTCACTAAATAAGATCATAGCTGACTTGCAGCACTCAGACCATCAAAAAATGTTGGAAATAATTTCAGGAAAGAGCAACAAATTAATGTTTAAAGCATGCCACTGTGTACCAGAATTTTACACTTCCTCCCTCTCTCTTTCTAACCAATAATGTATCTTTTTTTAAGTCTGAAGTTCACAGCTAAACTTTGTCCCATGTTCCTGATTTTTAAAAAATGTGGATGCTGTTATTTTGGAAGGGGCAAGGAGAAGGTCTGCACTTTATAACCTCTTTGCCTTTTGACCTGTATTATTTTGTTTAAAAGGAGTTGTAAATTTTTTTTTCCTCTCTAAAATGCAGAATACCGTGCTATAAACCAAACTAGAAAGGATTAGGATGGATAGATAGATAAATAAATAGATAGATAGATAGAGATAAAATAGTCCTTCTTATTTAAAACAAGACTTTGAGATTTTTTTTTGTTTAGCATATCATTTGACGTAAATATTTATTCATCTTAAGGAAACTGAACAGAAACACACAAAAAAAAGCACTTCTGGTGTCCCATAGACATTTCATATTGTCTACAACTTCCTTTCTCTCTCTCTCTCTCTCTCTCTGTTAGTTTTCTTTTCTTTTTCTGTAAAACATTGTTGATTTTTGTTGTTTTGTTTTAAAAACATTGTTCAGAAATGTAAGTTCTTTGCCTTTGAATTTTAAAAATGCTGGTATGTCTAAAGGTGATGGAGGTCATATTAAAAGGAGGGAAAAATTGGAGGCAATATTTTTTTTATCCTCCTCTTGCTCAAATAAAGTCATCAAATGAACAAGAAATGAAATATTACTGTGTTGGGGGAAAATATACTGGTCTGAGTCCTTAGAAGTTACTGTTTTTGTTTTTTTTTATAGAGAGATTTATATATGGTGTATTGTTACATAAACATATGCTTCCCCTCCCCAAAACCCATTACAGAAAGAAAGAACGTAGGTTACTATTAAGGGAGGGGGGGATAAGCCAACATAAATATTAAGCATAATAGTGTTCTCTTCACATCACCTTTAAAATTTGCATATTTGCGTTTCCCCAACCTATCCATGCATAACAAAACATTTTGCCATTTCATAAAAATCTTTTCCCCCCACATTTTTCATTAACATTTTTAAAACAGGTAAAAAACAGCATGACACACAAATTTTGGAAAATAAGTTACTTGGGGTTACAAGGGTGGTTCAAAAAGTCAGTGATTGTTAAATACCAGGGAAACATCCCACAGTCCGTTTCCCCCAAATCAAAAAAGTGCACGATTTTAAACCTCAGCGAGTTTGTTGGTCCATATTTCTAACATTTCATATGGATTCTTTTTGTTGTTGATGTTTTTCTTTTTTCTTTCCTCTTTCCCTTCCTTTTAAAAATCTCTTTCCCTAGTTTCAGTACCTACTTGCATAGATAGAGATAGAATATATTTATCATCTGTTTGCCCCTTTATTGCTTTTTCAAGTTCTCACTGCATTGAAAGTTTGATTTAAAGTTTGCAAATATTTTAACACCCTTACTTGTGCAAGCTGATACATGTTTACACGGAAGTAAGTCCCATTAAGCTTAATAAGACTAACTCCCAGCTAAACATGTAAAGGATTGCAGACGGCATAGATACTTTTTTCGGGGAATTCTTGATTCAACTGCTGGAAGGATGGAAAACCTCCTCCCATCACCTGCCCTTTACAAACTGTTTTATTCTAAAGCCATATTGAACTTTAAGAAAATTCTAGTTTAAATACCCATAAGGCATGATTTAGTATAGGCAATCCATTAGGATAGGGTGAAACTTTGACTCTCCCCTCCTCCTTAATTTTGAATAATGTGATCCTCTCTCCTAACAATACCAATTTGGATTTAAAACTTGGTTTTCGGATGGGCAAAATCTCGGCTAAACAGTCTATTAGCTATAGAGTTCTTTTGTTTGTTTTTAAATATAAAATTGTGTTAGCATATATATTGCACCAGATTTCTTTTCATAGTACTTAGTGGGGACAGGGAAGTCGCAGATTCGGTTTATAATGTGACTCCCAATCACGTTTGGAGTCCCGCGGAAACCAAGGCGCGTAAAAACTCCACCGACTTTCCATTTC